TGTCCTCAAACTTGCGATCTTCCTGCCTTGACTTCCCAAGGTGCTGGGATTACAGGCACATGCCACCACACTAGCCTATGCTAGCAATTTCAAAAACATTGAAGAGCTTGTGTCATACATGAGTAGGCTCTTCATAAGGGTAGTTTATTTTACCTAACACGTTTGTCTCCTTTTACATCCCATATTCCCCTTCATGCTTTTTTGGTTTGTTAAACCTTTGATTTCACCTTGGAATTCTTGGAAAATCTTCTCTTTGCCCCTTTTATTTAGTCTTGCAGCAACTTGCCCATCTCTCTACTAGTGGTTGTCATGTCTGCTCCTTCTGGCTATTTAATTTACTATGCCTGTCCAGTTGATTAATCCCTAGTTGTTTATACTGTGCTTGGGCTCATCTTACATTTTTGATATTTAATCTAGTTGCTAACACATCGTCAGTGACATTTTGTAGAATGATTGCAAGACCAATAGGTAACCTGCAGTTAGCTCTTTTGTCTTGGATTAACTGTAGAGAGGAGACTTCTAAATGGACCCTAAATGGAATAAGTTCATCTCACCTCAATGTATTAAAGATAAATCACATTGAAAATAGTAAGTCACTTAATAGCTCCATTCACACATCTAGTAAAGGATTATAATTTATGAGGTTCAGACACACTCCCAGGAGCACCCACTCATTTTTATTTTTTATGTGCTTTTGATAAGAAAAAATAGCATTGCATAAGTATCAGAGATGATGGTGTTTGAAATCTTGGTAAGGTGGTCAGAGCAGCTCTTTATGATAAGATAACAGGTAAGGAGTCATAATAATATCAGGGAGCTTTCTATACTGGGAAAGAGCAAGGGTGAAATGCCTGAGGCATAAGTGGTGTGGTGCTTTTAACACTGGGGATGTGTTTTTGACCTGGGGAAAAACAGGCAAGGATAGATGGTAGGTTACACAAAATTCTTGCTAGAACAGACCTCTATTTCTCTGCCTTTCCAGTAATAGTAAAGGGAAATAATAGTCGTTAAATATATGAAATTTATCATGTGACGTGACCTACTTGATATTTATTATGAAAAGATTTTACACAATGTTACCAAACTCTGTTCTTTGTTTCTCCTCTTTTTAAAAAATTTTGGTCTGGGTCTATTATCATTTCTACATAGTCAGTATCCATTCTATTTCAATCTTTCTTACTCTGCCCAATTTTGATCTTCCAATCATGTAGGAATCTGAGCAGGGGGAATCTCAGAAGTCAGGACAGACAGGAGCAGGAAACAGATCTATGGCTGCAGCAATCCTGGGGAATGTAAAGGAGGAGGTGACCTGCCCCATCTGTCTGGATCTCCTCACACAGCCTCTGAGCCTTGACTGTGGCCACAGCTTCTGCCAGGCCTGCATCACATCAATCTGTGAGTCCATGATGAGTCAAAAAGAGAAGAGCAACTGCCCTGTGTGCCGAATCAGTTACCAGTTTGAGAACCTGCGGCCTAATTGGCAATTGGCCAACATAGTGGAGAGGCTCAGGGGCATCAAGCTGAACCCAGAGGAGGAGCAGAAGGTGTATCACTGTGCACGTCATGGAGAGAAGCTCCTACTCTTCTGTCAGGAAGACAAGACAGTAATTTGCTTGCTTTGTGAGCGTTCTCAGGAGCACCGTGGACACTCCACATTCCTCTTGGAGGAGGTTGTCCAGGAGTACCAGGTAAGAGATCAGGTGGGGGGAGGACAGAGACGATATCTCTTCTTGACACTCGTCTAATTACATTGTGTCATGGAACCGATGCCTGTGATTTGTTTCTAAGCTATGCTATGATTACCTTCTGAGGCCTAAAGGATGAATTTTTACCTTCACTTAATTGCTAAGCCTAGAGTAGAAACTCTTGGACAGGGAGCATAAAAATACTGCGCCTTGTGCTAGATGGGTAGAGATTTCGAGTCCAAGAAAAGCTCTTTCAGCAGAAGAGTGAATGAGAAGGGTTGGTATATAAGTTCTTTCCTTGCTGCAAAATCAGGTTCCTGTTCTAGTGCAAAAATATTTAGACTACTGTTGGTGAGAGGTTGGTAACATTATTTCCAGAGACTTAGAGAAGACACCTTCCACCCCAGGTTTTCTTCCAATTCATACATTACCATTGTCTATTCATACAGTTTCTGAAAGCTCTAGTTTCTTCTGAGATCAACCTGATTTCTTCCAGGTTTATCCTCTCTCTTGGTGCTAAGAAAGTTCTTCCCTTGACTCTGGTGTGATTCCTTTCTCACAGGAGAAGTTTGAGGAAATGTTGCAAAACCTGAAGAGATCCAAGGAAGAAACTGAGAAGTGGAAAGTTGACATCCAAACTGAGAGAACTTTCTGGAAGGTAGGAGGAAATACTTTCTGAGGGAATTAGCTAGAACTCTGGGCAGGATCTTTTTCTTTATTTCATGGCAGTCTATAAGGTGGAAAGCATTTGAATAATCCTCTTTGCCCTTTTCCTTTTGGAGTGGAGGCTGGAGAGTGGGTACATCACAAAGGAATACAGCTGTTTGGAGAGAGCTATTCACAGGGAGGCACTCCAGTGAGGTTGGCTTGCATCCTGTTGCTGTGGTGCTTTTTGAGACTCTGATTCTACTGAAGGAATACTTTGGCAATGGGTCATGGTTCTGTCTTCAATGTTCAGCTTTTGGCAGAGGTTCAAGAGTGGAGTGAGGAAGTTGTAGCTAGAGGGTGGGCATCCCCAAGAGTTAAGTGGTTCTTCTCCACTGTGCCAATACAGTCGCCACCTTTTTTCTTTTTAATTCCTTCCAAACCACTTGCTCAAAGACTAAGATGCCCAAATTGCGCTGGTTGGACCTAGGGGAGGATAACTCCTCCAACCAGAAGCCTGCAGGGAACAAGAGAAAGAAGGACTGAGAATGTGATAGAGGGCTTAGAGAGCAAGAGAGGGAGAAAGAAAGCCAGAAGGAATTGTGAGCTTCAACCAATTGCTGTGCTTATCAGTGCTGTATTATGACCTTTGAAACTTTCCCATTTATCTTATTCAACACATTCTGCCTATTCAGTGCACACACTGGACGTGCAGGACACAAATCACTTCTGCAGTGTATTAACCCACTCACCAGTTTACCCTATACACCTTGATACTATGATATTCTAAAGAAATGACTTCAGCTCTTTGTTTGAATAGGTTTACAGATATGCTGGTTATTTGTTATTTGTTCTGGTTGGTGAGACTGGGTGTGGTAAGACAACACAGTTCCACAGTTGTGTGTGGAGTATGTGCGATCTTCACCAGGACCCAAGAGAGGAGTTGCCTGTACCCCGCCGAGGAGAGTGGCTGCAATGAGTGTGGTTCAGAGAGTTGCTGATGAAATAGATGTGCTGTTGGGCCAGGAAGTTGGTTATTCCATTTGATTTGAAGGCTGCAATAGTGCAAAAACAATACTTAAGTATATGACTGATGAGATGTCACTTCATGAAGCCATGAACGATCCCCTCCTGGAGCAATATGGTGCAATAATCGTTGATGAGGCTCATGAAAGAACACTGGCTACATATATTCTCATGGGTGTTTCAATGCAAGTTGTAAAACATCGATTGGATTTAAAGGTTATAGTTACGAATACTACTCTACATGAGGGAAAATTCAGATTTACTTTGATCACTGTCCACTATTAATTATGCCTAGCCTCATATATCCTGTTGAGGATCTTTTATACTCCAGAACCAGAGAGAGTTTATCTTGAAGCAGCAATTCAAACAGTGATCCAGATACATATGTGGGAAGAGGAGGAGGGAGATCTTCTACTTTTCTTTACCAATCAAGAAGAAATTGATGAAGCCTATAAAAGAATAAAGCTTGAGGTTGATGTTATGGGTTCTGAAGTTGGTGACATTAAAATTATTCCACTGGGCTGGGGTTATGGCTCAGTGGTAGAGCGCTCATCTAGCACCTGTGAGGCACTGGATTCGATCCTCAGCACCATGTAAAAATGAAATAAAGATATTGTGTGTCCACCTACAACTATAAAATAAATACTTAAAAATAGTTATTCCAAAAGATATGAATTGTAATGCATTCTGCTATCATATATAACAAATTAGAATAAAAAAACAAAAATTTTTAAAAATCAAGATAAGGTATTTCTAAAACAGTTTACAGAATTGAGAAAGCCATGGACTTGTCTGACTTTTCTCCTCAGTTCATCTAAGTGTTATCGTCAAGAATATATTAAAAAAAAAAAAATCATTCCACCCTTCTCTGCACTCCACCCCAGCAGTAGCACCCTCCACCTCCCAATAAATAAAATGGAGTAATTAGAAGAATGGTGGTCGTGTCAACTAACATTGCAGGACATCACTGACATCACTGTCACTCTTTTGGTGACAGCTATTAGAGCAGCTTCAGATCAGCTTCAGAGCTGGTTGACCTAGACATACCAGACCTAGGACATGCTTCAGGATTTACACAGAGAAACATTATAAAACAGGAATGAAGGATAACACCTATCCTGAGATTGTGCATTCTAATTTAGCATCAGTGGTGTTACAGTTGGAGAAACTTGGTTTTGATGAATTGGTGCATTTTGATTTTATGGATCCACCAGCTCCTGAAACTCTGATGAGAACCCTAGAAATTTTGCATTATCTGGGTGCTTTAAGTGATGATGGAGCTCTGACTGAATTGGGATCCATGATGGCAGAGTTTCCTCTAGATCCACAGCTTGCTAAAATGGTTATTGCAAGTTGCAACTACAATTGTTCTATTGAGGTCCTATCTATTACTGCTATGTTGTCAGTCCCACAGTGTTTTGTTTGCCCCATGGAGGCCAAGAAAGCTGCAGATGAGGCCAAGATGAGATTTTCCCACATAGATGGAGATCATCTGACCCTGCTGAATGTCTATCATGCTTTTAAACAAAATCATGGGTCGGTTCAGTGGTGTTATGGCAACTTCATCAACTACCAGTCCCTGATATCCACAGACAATGTACGCCAGTAGCTATCTCGAATTATGGACAGATTATGGACAGTACTTCTATGCCTCATAGAAGTACTGACTTTATCATCAGGGACTATTATATTAACATAAGAAAAGCTTTGGTACTGGGTATTTTATGCAGGTGGCACATTAAGAAGGAACAGGCCATTACTTAACTGTGAAAGGTAATCAGTTCATTCAGTTGCATCCCTGTAGAGTTCTTGACCACAAGGCTGAAAGGGTGCTTTATAATGAGTTAGTTCTAACAACAAAGAATTACATCTGGACACATACAGATATCAAGCCACAATGGCTGCTGAAAATTGCCCCTCAATATTATGACATGAGCAGTTTCCCACAGTGTGAAGTAAGGAGGCAGTTGGACTACATTATTGCCAAACTTCAATCCAAGGAATAGTCACAGGACTGAATTCCATGCTTAGAACTGAAGTTATTCAGAGGAGAGCTTTAAAAGATGAATGAATTCAAAATTCAAGTTGTGCTCTTCATGTAGGTTCAATAATGG